CGTTTGACCCCCCCCCCCCCCCCCGCCTTAAACAATGGTTTCGTAAGATCCCAATAACGAATTCCATGTGTCTTTGGTGAGTATAGAATAAACAGAACCCCAATTTTTCCCTCACTATAATATTTATTTCTCCCAAGGCACGTCCCCGAAACGCTGAGAGGCTGCTGAAGGCGTGCGGTTCTCCAGGGGAGGAGGCCGTTGTGATGCAGGAACTGAGGGGACAGGGCGCGTTCTCGTGCTGGCAGTCTTTGCGAGACGCCCGCCTAGACCTGGAGGAGGAGGTGCCTGAGACCTTCGGGGACTGCCTGCAGTGGGCCAAGGAGCAATTCGCCTCCTTCTTTCATGTGAGTCGTCGTCGTTGGTGTTATTGATGATGATGGTGTTGGACGTGTTTAATCGCCTTTTGCGTCACGTATGCCTAGGTGTCTCCCACATTTCCAGACATGCATGGGTTGACTGCCGCAGGTACCCACAAGCGATCGTGCCCAAAGGCGATGATTTGTTTTTCTCTGTCCCCACCTCATCATTCTCACAGATCCGATCGTGTATATTTTTTGCGTCTGATAGTAAACTGGCAAAGAAAAGACATGGGCTAGATTAGATTAACCACTACCACGCTCGGCCTCACACATTTTTCTCGATTTGTCGTGACGTTTTTTTAGGGCCTAGCGGCTCCCGCACCTCTTGCCGCAGAGAGTACTGTTTTCTGGCAGAGGCTTTATGCACCATTCCTTTCGAGCTAGGGCTTGGGAGAACTCAGGTAGAGTGACATGCTGGTTCTGCCGAGGCGCTCACTGGTGGCTGTGGACCCTTGCGTCAGAGCGGCGTTTTTTGTGTGTGTCTTCATTGTTGGCGTCGACCGCGCTTACCGGGTGACGAATGAAATTTCGTCAGCCTCAGCGCGTTTTAGAACCAGAACTTGTTGTGTGTACAGCAGTGTGCGACGGACCAGCAGCATTGAACTAGCTATCATCGACAACATCACCACCACCACCACCACCACCTCACCTGCAACCCCCGCCGACCACAGCACGTGCCTGTCACACCACGACATCATCCTAATCCGTAACCCCGACCAACATGCCCGTCTATCTATCAGTCTTGCCGACCCCTCCATCCACCCATCCACCCCGCAAAACAAACCCTCCCCTCCCCGCCCCATAAAAAGGATTCCGCCGAGGAGCTGCTGAAGCAGCACCCACTGGGGAGCACGGACGACGAGGGCGATCCCTTCTGGACAGGGGTCCGCCGTCCGCCGTCCCCTCTCAAGCTGGACTCGGCCAACCTCCTCCACCGGGAGTTCGTGTGGTGGGCCTCGGTGCTCCGGGCGGGTGTCTACGGTGTGGAGGTGCCTAGGTTAGTGAGAACCCAAGATTATGTTTTTTTTTTTTTTTGCATGTTGGCCTGAAACGGATGGCCTTTCGAGCTGCGCCAACCAGGCCGCCGGGTGTTGTGTTTCTTTACTCTTTTTCATGTTTCACAGTCGAGCGGCGAGTTTATCTTACGCTGGGTATAACGGGAGTGGTATTATAGAGGCCCTCGTGTTGTTCGTGAAAGTTAGTTGTTAAGTTGGGCGTTTTGCCTGAAGAAAAGCTGCGGGGGGGGGAGAAGTTTCGCAATAATGCCGGATTGCCGAAAACCTCTCACAGGCGAAGGAATAATTGAAGCAGGATTAACCTCGGTGTCATCCAAGACCTGCTCCTTTCCATCGCGCGCGTGTGTGTGTCGCTCTCTGTTGTGCTTTCTCTCGTAAATTCAGATCCGTGCGTGATCTCCAAGCCCCGGTGGCAGCTACAGCGGGTGGCGGCGGCGGTGGCGGCGGTCGGGGGCACCGCCAGGGAGAAACCGGAGGGTTGGGGGGGGCGTCCACGGCAAACAAGGAGGAGGGTGGCCAAAGACGACGACAGCAACAGCGACGGCGAGAGCAACAGCGAGAGCAATCGCCCAGAGAAGGACGGCGACATCGGCCCTTGGCCAAGGCGACCGAGTCGGACCCTGACGAGACCATCGAGCCGCTCATACGCTCGGAGCTGGCGGGGCTCAGGGAGACGGCCGCAAGGTGGCGGGGCTCCGGCGGGGGCG